TACTTAATAGATTAATTTAATAGTAAAATATATTTACCAAAGGAGTTGGTTATTTAACCTTTCAAAAGCCAGTTACTCTGGACTGTGATTTCTTTGTTCTGTGAGAGGCTGCTTCACCCTGTCCCAGAGCTACACATGGAAGCACGGGCTGGACGTCACAGGCAGGGAGGGCCCATGAATTGAGGAGATGGGGAGGATGGGACCTCAGATCAAGAGCCAAATTGCTGGGTACCCCCGCAAGTCCTCCAGGCTTTATGAACAAGACTCTGAAACTGCCATCTTACCAGAGCAGAAGCCTTGAAGAGGCTGTGGGAACGCCAGCCACCGTACCCTGATTTGTGTGTGCAAATCGAACAGAGCAACATCTTACACTGACCAAAGCTGATCGCTTAAGGTCACAAAAGCCGACACAGAGAATGAGCTGCTGAAACCACCTGTCACTGCTTGTGCTGTTTGCTGGCAGTTAGGGACAAAAATAGCCTCATCGTGACATGGTGTGTGTCTGATGCCTCTCTGCACCTCCTTGCTCACTGCAGGGCCTGACTCTGTGCCCTGGCTCCGGTCAGGCAGGCAGGGTCCCAGTACCTGTCCTCACGCCGCAAGCATGCTCCTGTCCTCAGATGGGATCACGTGAAGCTGGAAGAGACGAACGATGCTGAATTTCCTACTGCTCCCCAACAGCCTCTCAGCCGATACCAGCACCTCCCTTATTTTCCAAGATTTCTGTTGCTGATCAAAAAAACCACTTGTGAAGACATGTTTACAGTTTCCTCTGCCAGCACACAGATTTCTGTCTGACAGGCAAAACCAAGGTAACATCAAAAAACTAGAGAAAAAAGAAGAAAAGGCCTTTTGGCTCAGTCCAAGTCTCACCTGCTCTACCAGATTTCTTGGTGACAAAATATGTCATTTCCTCCTGCTGTGAAAAGAAAGTTTCTTTTCTCACAGGACTTGAGTACTTGTTAATACCTAAACCAGCTCCATCACTTGCACTCCTCTTGTCAGTGAAGAGCATTTAATTTTGCACTTAAGTTTGCATCTTCCAGTGCCTTGCACATCCTTTTTTCTTCATGTGCAATGGATTGATGGTAAAAACCTCTGCAATAAGACTTGGTTAATTCTGGGCCACTGCTGAGTGAGTATATCGATGCATGTGATGGCACTCTTTGTGCTGGGGCATCATTTGGCTTGTTCAGCTTCTCTGAACCATGAAGGCTTTTGAACATAAAAAGAAGACATCATCTGGAGATGAAAGTATGAAAACAGACAAAGGTGGATGGGAGCTGTTCTTCCAGGTCCCTGTGCAACCACAGACAAGTCATATCCTTCCCTTGTCTCACTTCCCTCTGCTGTAATTAAAAAAAAGCTGATCTCCTATCATGGAGGGAGAGAAGTGGACAGTGTAGGATCAGTAATTCACCCGACTTTTATGAAGAAATCTGTGACTTTGAGGTGTATTTTATCAGGGCAGGACCAAAGCATTCTGTGACTTCACGGTTGCCAGACATTTCGTAACAAGAAGGGTGACGACAGTGAGTAGGTCTGTGCCCTGCCCTTGCAGTGTCTCCAAGTTGCCAACAGCTGGAGCCATCCAGCAGGACAGAGGTCTTGAAAATGCAAAGCTGCCCTTTCCCCAAACACGAGCAGGTCTGAGTGCTGCAGTAGCTCATCTCAGCAAGGGCTGCATGGAGACAGCTGCTGTGGAGCCTGCCAGTGCTCTTCCTCGGGCTGGTCCCCTCTCTCTGCCCAGTGCTTCTAGTTCTGCCTTCTTTGCTCTACAGAAATATCTAAGGCCCATAAAGCAGCCAAAACCAAGCAGCTTAACTGCTGACCAGGCTCATGGGAGAGAGGACAGCCCAGCAGCAAAGCAGGAGTCCCCCTGGCAGCTCTGAGCCGTGCCCTGAGGAACCTCACAGGCAGCACTTCTTGGGGAGAGAGGGGAAAATATTCAGCACTAGCTTTGAAAATATACTTTTGCATTGGTTCAGTAACCAGGGGTTCAGTAATCGGGGCTATGATACGAAGGTCAGTGAGCACAGAGCTGTGTTAGTCACGTAGTTGCTGTGCTGCTCAACAAAATGAAAGTGCCTAGATAGCTGAAAGAGATAGAAAAGTCAGTATGTGCTTGTGATATCACAGTGCAATTGATAAATAGGCATGTACTGGTGATAAGATAGGCTTATTGGTGATAAGATAGGTTGGAATAAGATAGATCTGCATTGGTGATGTGACGGAGTGTTACATAGTGTTGATCAGACGTGATTACCGATACTTTATCATGTCTCACGTTATCTCTGCAGGTGCTTAGTTAGAAGATGAAGTTCATCTTTTCCCTTGCAAGACAATCAGAAGAGCTTTAAAGATTCAGGTAAAACAGAGGGAAATGGGGCGAGTGGAGAGAAGGAGGTAAGGAGAGGTCAGCAAGAAAAGAGAGGATTTGAGGAAGTTTGAGGGAGAGCAGAAGCAGCCATAGAGCACTGAGCTCTGAGTCTGTGCTAACTACAGCCTGTGCCTCTATCTTATCAGTGACACAGCTCTTGCTTGAACACCCAGTGCCTCTGGGATCAGTCAGTGAAAGGACTGAAAGGTCCAGCAAAGTGTTTCAATATTTGGACCTGCCAGCAGTGGGCGAGGAGAGAGGACTGAGCTGAATATATCCATGCTGTGGATGGGGAAGAAGAGAGGCTGTTCTGGTCTGCAGGGCCAGAGATGTTACTTACTGAGGGGGCTGAGCCCCTTCTGTGATTGCAGACTGGGGATGCCCAGGAGGGAGGCAGTGCCTGAAGTCAAAGGAGATTCCCCTCGGGGGTGACTGTCAGACCTCACACATGCCAAAAGCAGGAGTCGCAAAGACGCATGACTCACGGAGCCTGTGATTTCAGGTCCTGGTTGTCTCACTCCCTTTTTCCCTGTCCTGGTTTTGGCAACTCCTGACATTTTGCGATGCTCTTGGAACAGCCAGAGCAACATTCACAGCCTAGATGGCTTTTTGGAGGAGAAGCCCCTGCTGCTTGCTCTTGTGGCATGATCTCTAGGGATTTATATTGTCTGTCGGGGTGTGTGCACGCACACTCGCTTGAAATTGTCTCCAACTAAAGCAGAAGCTCCTCTGGGGATATAACTTCTCTGGTACTTTCCTTCCCCATTTGAAAAAATACCAGCAACTAGTTAGCTGAAAATTTAATATGAGAAATCATTTCAACCGGAAAATGGATTGGTTTTGAAAGAAAAGTCTAAAAAAAATGTTTTGGTAGTGGTTTTCAAGCAGAAAGCACATCGAACCTTCTCTTTTCCGGCAAAATATCTGCTTTCTCTGGGAGGAAAACATGACACAGGAGATACTTTTTTTCCTGTCTCTGCCACTAACTCACTGAACAAATGGGAACAAGCCACTTTCTCCTCCGATACCTCTCTTTTCCCCTCTACTGGTAGGGATAATAAGTCCATAGTTCTCAAGCATACAGGACAAACTAATGGGATTGAGACAAAATGCTTTGGCGCGTAAATAGTTGGCATCACCGGAGGCTGTAGTCTAAGCAAGGAGAGGGGAACACTCTTGTTTTTCACCAGACCTAGGTTCTCGAGTGCTTAAACAGGCTGTACTCAGAGGGTAATTTAGGCCTCATACCTGAATGCTCCCCAGGAACCGCTATCTTCAGATCAAATCCACCTCCCATTAAGGTTTTAGATAAGGGCTGTGCCCTCGCCTGGGCTGTAGCTGTTTATTTTACCCCCGGGACAAGGTACTCTGTGTGAGCTACTGTGTGGCTTTCGGATACCAGAAGATGGTGAGAGATAAGCTTTTCTATTCACTGTATCTCAGGGTTCTGATCTTCTGCGTCCCCCGCTTCCCCAGCCTTCACAACCACTCTGCTCTCTGCAACAGTGCAGACCACAGTCCCCCCAACATGGGTAATCCACTGCATCCGGGGGTGAGGGTAGACCAGTACAAGCCTTAATAGGTGGGTTTCCACAGCGGACTCGGCTGAGCAGCTGTATATGCCATTAGCTGCAAAAAAGCTGCAAGAAAGCTCCAGCTCTGCAGTGAAGCCAGCCCAAGGGTGACCAAGTTGGTGACTCTGTGGGGTTACGGAGAGCATGAAGGAGGGAAACCCTGGCCTAGCGGAGGGAAATTACAATTATTTTCTTGTCAGCTTGAAGCAGTTGCAAACATTTATGATAGTTCAATAGGCTGAGTAATAGGTATGTTAAAAACTATAGAACAGTTTATTTACAGCGTGACCAATTTTCAGGCTTGAAAAGCAAGATGCTCATTTCAGTGGCACAGAGAGGCCAGATGGGATCCAGGAGGTGAGCAATGGGTCCAGAGAGTTTAGTTGTTTCAGGAGCCATAACCAGTTTGGAGGGCTGTGGCAGTGCAGGGGGCATGTACAGCATGCTCTGTGCCGCACAGGCCCATGGCAGTGCCCAGGGGTGTGAGAGCTGTGGCTGGCAGGGCGCAAGGAGGGCAAAACAGCGGCACCGTGCAGCTCTGCCCCACTGCTCCTCCCCATCTCTGCTGGGAGCGAGCAGCATACCGGCTGCTTCTTGCCCTAAGCGAAGGGGAAGGGGACTCAATGGCTCCTGTCCTGTGTCTCACCCCATGCAAACTTCACCAGAAATGTGTACTCGGTGGTTTCCTGTGAAAGAATTGTTTTTTAAGGGATCTGGAAAAATGCAGGTCTGCTGGAGCCAACACAGTTCATCCTTAGTGAGCCTGGTAGACATTAAGCTCTGAGGTCCTGGGATAGTTTTGGAAGTGGGTAAGAAGGAACTATAATACTGTCTGTACTGTCCTGTGCTGGGTCAGGCTGGAGATGTAAATCATGGCCGGCTGTTTGGAGACACGAGGCACAGCTGAGTGCTCTTGTCTGCTGTGACAGCATCGTCTCCCAGGTTCTTAGTTCTGGAACTACTTGAGAAACAAAACCGGTCTTTGAGAGATTAAAGCAAAAATTCATAAAGAGCCTCTCCAGGTCCCACGCAGGAAGGGTGTGTGTTGAGGAGCAGAGAGGGAGACTCAAGGAAGAGTTGCTTTTGACTTGTCCTCTGTCTCTGGCCCATTTTCTGTCTTGGTAGCAATACTGTAGTAGTAGGAACGGATTATATTTTCCACAGGAATAAATCCTGGACGTTCTTCCCATCTGCAAGGGCAGAAAGGGACAAATAAAGTTAACAGAAAGGACAAAAGTGGACTGATGCAACGAGAAGATACCAAGCACAGAAGAACCTGGGGAAGAACAGCAGCCCAATTGTACCAGGGCTTAGGAGGGCAGCAGAGACTTTTCTGGGACGGAGAGGGGCAAAGGCATAGAGGCTCTGACATCTTCCAGGGTTGGTACACGCAAATGGAGGGGGACGATAATAAAGAAATAGGTGCATCATTCATCATAGACTGTGGAATGAGATCAAGGCAGGAGACACCATTTGCTTTGTGTTGCCACCATCCAGACAGTGTGCGCTGTGCTGATGGACCTGCCACCCAGCAGAGAGTTGAGCCAGTGAAAGCCTCACCTGTAGGTCCAACATTGCTGCATGAGGGCGTACATCTCTGCCGGGCAGTCTGTGGGGCAGTCCATACGCTTCCCTTGCTCTATGAAGCTGATGACCTCTGGGCCTTTCATTTTCTAGAATAGGATCAAGTAGGAAAATGCTTTAATGTTTTTGGAGCTGGCAACAGGATTAGAAGAGACAGATTAGAGCTGGGCCTGGGGTAATGTTTTGGATCCATGCACCACACACCCCGTACAGTCACTGTTTTCAACCCCCACAGCCAGCAGTGGTGTCTCGCGTTGTGGCCAGCCCAGCTTGCAAACCCCATCCCAAGCCTGAGCAGAGCAGTGGCTGAGCAACTGATTTTTCAGCTCTGCAAGTGAGCAGAAGGATCAAAGAGAAGATCTGCTTTGATTCAAATCCAAATTAATTTGTTTTGTTTTTTCTTTCTTCTCCCTTAAATGAACACAAAGCTGCAGGATCCAAACAATCTCATTTGTGCCTTTCGTAAAGTGGAAGTGAGCCTGTCTTCTTTCCCCTCTGTTCAACAGTGGGAAGAGCACCCACTCAAGGAAATAGAAATTGTAGTTTCAATGTGTGTCAGCCTGTTATAGAGCAGGAGATTAGACTGTGGCATCCATCCGTGATGGACCCAGCTCTTCCTCACCTTGTACGGTTTCTGCCCGTAGCTGAAGGCCTCCCACATGGTCACGCCGTAGCTCCATACATCACTCTTGCTGGAGAACTTGTGATAGAGGATGCACTCTGGGGCATACCATTTCAAGGGCCACTTTCCTGCTGTCCTGGCCTGTAGCAAAGCAAAGAGGAACATTTCCACCCTGAGACAGACTGCTCTGAGCTGAACCGGAATTCTGCTTCGCTAAATATTTGTGTCAAAAGCAATCACACGCTGCTGAAAAAATCCCCTTGCCCTGGGCTGGGAGCTCAAGGTCCCAAGCCCCGAGCTCCAAGCCCTGAGCCCCAAACCCCTGCCCAGGCCCTGCTGTCTCGCTGACCCTGCTCAGCTCTCGCTGGGTGCAGGATGCTGTCCCACAGTGCCACCCTCCTCCCACCCCCCAGCCCCAGGGCTCAGTGCAGTTGTGCACTGGTGCACACTGGGAAGATCAGCCCTGGATCACTCTTCACCACCTTCTCTCTGCTCTGGCTCCTCTTCTGTCTCCTCTCCTGTCATCCTGTTGCACTGCATCCCCCTCACTGCCTCTGCATCTGTCTGAATTTCCTCCTTGCCACGTGGAGCTTTGCAAAGCCCCTTTTAATGTCACAGCAGTGAGGCCAGCCAGAGTGTGATGTGGTCATGCAGCAGGGCTCTTGGGAAGAGTCCAGGCCCCCTGCCTCTGGGGGTCTCAGCCCCCCAGTTAGGAGGGCTCCTGCTAGCTAGCTGGATCCTTCGCTGTGCTTACACTTACCTTGTAGTAGCTGTCATCAGCGCCAAGAGCCTTGGAGAGTCCAAAGTCACTGATTTTGGCATAATGTTGGTTGACCAGCAGGACATTTCTGGCTGCCAGGTCCCTGTGGACAAAGTTTTTTTCCTCCAAGTACTTCATCCCCATGGATACTTGGTGCATTAGCTCCACAATATTGCTGACTGTAATCTCGTCTCTGAGGAAGATGAAAGGACAATGCAGTAATAAAGGACTTGCCATTACTCTGTACACCACAGTCCCCTCCAAGCTGCAAGGGAGAATGAACGTGGACATCTCTGCTCCAGAAGCATCAGTCCCTACTACCTCACATGAAAAGACGTCTCTTTCTGCTGTTATCAGGTTCCCTCCACCTACAAAGCCAGGCTCCCCTGGCAGAAGAGAGTTTGATGAGAAGTGCAGAAAATCAGCCAGCCACATTTTATTCAGTACTCACTTCTTGGAAGCCAAGAACTTGTTGAGTGGCCCTCCAGAAGCCATCTCCATCACGAGCATCAGGGACTCCGCTTCGCAGACCCCAATCATGCGGACAATGTAGGGATTGTCCAGCTGATGCATGATCTGGGCTTCCTTCATCATTTCATCCTTCACTGTTTTCTCATTGTTGCTCTTCAGCACCTTTATGGCCACATCAATCTGCTTCCTGCACAGGGCGCAAGAAGAACACACATGGGATGAATTAAACAGCAGCTGGATTCATGTATCACAGCCAGGAGTGCAAACCACTTCTCACGTGATACTGTTTGATCTCTCAACGGCAATCTCAGTAGCCTGTTTTGGTGGAGCCCTGCACAATAATGGTATCCCAGGCCTGCTAGAAGGCCAAAGAGAAAAGAATCACTGCACCCTTATCAGTGTAGGCCAGTATTTGCTATCTGTAGATCTGAAGGCGCATCACCTCACACACCGAGATCTGCATCATCATTGCCATTTTTCAAGGGGGAAACTCAGGCACAAAGTGGGCAAAGGCCATCTTTGTGGACTCATAGACAACCAGTGACAGAGCCAAGGATCACACATCTCCTCAGTCTCACTCCTTTGCCCTGACATGGACCAACATGACCTCAGAAGCATGGACTTGGTCCTCTGAGCCCAGCAAATACCTTCAGAAGTGGCAGTTTTATGCCCGGGAATGTGCAGTGCAGATCACACTCCGAGGGCAATGAGGCTGTCACTGAAAGTCTGTGGAAAGTCATCACTGACCTTCCAGAGTTTTTCTTATACCTCCACCCCATTGTCACTTCAGGGTCCATCTAGCTAGAAACAGGATAGCTGGGGACACATCTGAGCTGAGCCTGGAGCACCCTCCTCCCTCTTCCTCGGCATCCTCCAGGGCAGCACTCACTTTCTCATTTTGTAGACTCCTTTCTTGACGCAGCCAAAGTTTCCTGCCCCCAGTTCCACTTCATCAATCATCAAGTGGTCCCTCTTCAGGAAAAGCTTCTTATCCTTCAGTTCTTCGGGGTCACTGTATGGGCTTTCGTAGACGCTGGTGTCCATGGGTAGCAGGCGTGATTTTCCTGCACCTTCCCAAGAGATACAGATTTTTATAGCTGTAAACAACGTATCCTTCCCTGTCCCTCTCTCCCTCACTGGTTGGGAAGGTTTTCTCTAGTCTCTTGGGTAATTCTCCTTCAAGCTCCAGCATTCAAGCCTCCCCCTTGGCTTCTCCCTTCCTTTCACAACCCATGGCCTCTCCTAGTTGCAGCTGCTGAAGAAGCCAGGATGGGGAGAGGTGTTTGAGCATTCCCACTCCACGCACCAGACTCTGCAGGACCTGGGCACGTGCATGACTTCACCCCACTGAAATGTAGCTGACTACACTGAGTATTTAGTAGGCAGGATGGAAGACAATGGGCCAGGGCTTGATTTACTGGGTATGACGGGGAATGGGACAGGGCTTGATTGACTGGGTGCTGGGTGTGGGCAAACAGTTTTGCCTTGAAATGGGTGGGATGCTCCTGGGTGCCTTTGTAAGAAAGGGGCTTTGTAGCACAGCTCTTTGACCAAAAGGCGATACAGATGTGTCAGGTAACCCCCATGGTTCCTGTGGCATCCCCAGGTTCTCTCTCCTCCTGTTAGGAGGAGGGGGCTTTCAAAGATGCTCACCCACAGGCTCTGGCGTGTATCCGTCCGCATTGAGAGGCCCAAGGTGTCTCTGGAAAAGAAATGGGGATAAAGTGGATAATGCAGCCAGGGGTAAGCACTTCAGTCTGAAATGGGAGAGGAGAGGGATGGGGAGCCTCTGCAGCCCACAGAGCCCCAGCTGGTAACCTCCTCTAAAAGGCCCTGAGGTGGGCACAAGAGATTGGAGTGGTATCAAGCCGACTTTTCTCTTCCAGTCCCAGCTGGCAGGTACCCCCACTGCAGCTGCACAGCAGGGATCAGACCCTGGGGGGATTCCCTGCCATGGAGCCTGAATGCAGCATCGCCCTTCAGTAACCCAGCCTGTGGGCTGTGCAGGGTGAGGTGCCGAGGGCTCTGTGTTTACCCGAGCGGTGAGGGGCATGCACAAAGGGCTGCATTTTGCTCTCTGCCCCCTCTGCTTTCCCCATCCCAAAGTGACAAGTCTCCTGCAGCAGCGGGGGTCATCCCAGCCAAGTCTCTGCAGCTTGTTTTGAGACAGGGAGCGAAGGGAAGCCCAGAGGCAGCTCAGCTTGCAGCCAGCACACCTCCCCGCCTGTCTAAAGAGCACACACAGACACTGTAAACAGCCACTGTCCCAAAAGCAGACGGCAACAAAGCGATATGGTACACATTTGTCCAGCACAGCTTTGAATGCCAGTGCTGCTTGCAGCAGAGTTGCTGCAACATGAGAGCCCACCGCAGATTGTGAAAGCTCTCTGAGAAGATGGGTGAATGCTCAGGCCTTTATTTAGCCTCCGCTGGGCTCTGGGATGGGCTGCTCGTATAGCCCAAACTAGCTGTTTTCAACACTGCTCGGCACTTGGAGCGGTGACTGAGCGCAGACGTACCCTGAGGCTGGGGACGCAGAGGGAGCACAAAGAGCTGGCCCGTGGCCAGTGGCCAGCAGCAAGGCTGAGTGTTCCCAGAATCCGGCCACGTCTTCCTCGCTCCTGCCTGGCAAGGAGGGCAGGGGGGAGAGGGCTCCCCGAGGACAGGCCCACATGTTGCAAGGAGTGCAGCATGAATGGAAACCATTTTCAGCTCTAATGGTAGCTGTGCCCAGCTATTCCTCATCCCCATCCAAGCTGGAAAGGGGACAACATTGCAGCTGGGCTTAATATATTCCATTTGAGTTATTGCCTTTTAGAGAAGAGCAGAGTTTGATCAGCAAGCTTGAAATGCAATAACATTAAACTATTGAGGTACCAATAAACAGATCCTCCCCAAAACTTACGCTCACGGAGGGGTGGGTTGGTGGAACTGGTGCTGCAGACGCTGTGAATCAGGAGAGAGAAGCTGTTATTAAGAGTCTGCCTACGCCCCAAGCAGGATCAGAGCATCAGTCCTTGAAGGACTGTGTGGATGCCTGGGTCTGATCCCCTCCCCTACAAAGGCCAGTTTCCACAACTTTAGCCAAAAAAGGTGCCTGGATGTGGGCGTTAATCCCAGAGCAGTCCTCAGGGGAGATGCAGGCCTACTGGAGGGCCCTACAGTCTCCATCGGTCCCAGGGACTGGCTGAGCTGTACCCCAGACCCTCTCCCAGGAGAGCGGGGGTCCCACGGGCGGGCTCTGAAGTGAGTTTTGTGATACTTGGGCCAGGACAAAGTGACCCCTGGTTTTGAGTGTTCAGCTCAAGAGACCCACCAGGAGCCAGACTTGCAGGACATGTTGTTTCCGGCTGCCTAAAAAGCAAGTCACTTTTCAGAAGCTGTCTGTTTGGCGCCAGAAGTCCCTAATCCATTTGAAGCACTGATTTCTGCTGCTGTCTTTGGGCCACCCTAGGCCAGGCCTGGAGAGCGGCCACTTTCAGCAGACAACATGATCATAGAATCATAGAATCATAGAATCATAGAATCATTAAGGTTGGAAAAGACCTCTGAGATCATCAAGTTCAACCATCAACTCACAATGATGTGAGACTTGCCCGGTTTGCCAGAGGAGCAGAGACCTCACCGTTCCCTCACCGCCAGGGTCTGAGCAAGGTTGGACATGGTAAAGGAAACTTGGGTTGGCGCTGCTCAAACTGGCCCCACTCAGTGGTAAACCAAGGCCAGGGATGGCACAGAGAGACGTCGGCTCACCTGGCATGTTGGGGTTGGGGCAGGTTTCCCTCAGGTAGAAAATCAGCCCGTCCGGTTTGAGTTTTAGGTACTCCACCAACTGGGAAAGGAATTGGAGGAAAAAGAGATTATTGCAAGGAGAAAATGATCTCTTTTTCTTTGCAGGCAATTTGTATGGCTTACGGTAATGACTTCTCTCAGATTTATGGCAGGCAGGGACTCGACTATATCTTTCTCTCCTCTCCTATCTGTGCACTCAGGGATCTCCTAGAGCAAGCGCTTGCATACCTGGATATCTGCCAGAGCTGGGAAGAACTTGGGAAGTTAGATATGGACCACAGAAAGACAAAAGGAAAATCTCCAGCAGGAGAGCTGGGTAGGGCATTTTCAGTGTAATGTTATTGTTGTCCCAGCCAGAATGGTTTTTAAGTCATGTTGTGTTTGATAAAGCCTGAGAGAAACCTTTTGCTTTCCCGGAGGAACCCCAGGGTTAGCTCTGTGAATCCTGGGCAGTTCTTCACTGCAGCAAACGCTGGTTCAAGTGCATTGGGGACTTGACTCTGGCTGGAGACAACCAGACCAGCCCCTGGCCACCAGACCGCAGGGGAGACGAGGCTTTCTCTTCCCCTCCTGTCCGGCTCAGATTTCATCTGCAACTGGGAGCCTGGCACAGTTCTGTTTCCATAAAAATGCCCTGAAGTCTTTGTTTTCAATCAAATTCAGAGTGAAAACAGTCCTGGGAATTCAAAAAATTCAGCAAAACAGAGTTACCGTCCCCCAGACAGCCCTGCCCAGGAGGAAGCACTGGTATCCGTCCCCTGGAGCAGGTCCGAGTTGTGTGCCACGGGGCAGAGCCGGGCTCCGGAGGGGCATGCAACTCCCCAGCAGTGCCAAGAGCTGCTGGGCCATGTGGCACATTCCCTAAAAACCCTGCCCTACCCTCATGAGGACTGCTGGGGCATTACAGCCATCTCTACTGCCCAAAGCCCCTGACTCTCAGGGGTGATAGGATTTGTCTCCTGGCACTCGCATCTTCCGTCACGTAAAGATTTTGGCAGCTGGCTCAAGACTTCTGGCCTCCCCTACTCTTTGCACAGAAGTCAGTCACTTGGAAAATAAAGTGGCAATATGCATGCAACAGTTTTGCCGGTCCAGGAGCAGCGTGGGGGATGTGCGGGAGGGACAGCCTGGGATGAGCAATCTCATCAGGGCTTGCTGCAGGCAGAGGTCCGTGGTGCACGTTGTGGCTGAAGATGTGATGTTTGCTGATGGGGTGCAAGTGTAATTAATATAACCATCTCAAGTATCCTAGCTTAAAGCTTGAAATTAAAAGCACTAATCCTCTTGTTTCCTTGGAGAGGCACCACGCTGGTGTAAGGCATGAAGGTAGTGGTAAAGCCAGCACTATTTCAGAGCCGCTGTGATATCCCAGACTTAGATCTAATTAGCTAGGAGTGCGCAGAAATTAATGCAATGAGGTGAGCTGATAGACAGCCAGACACAGGGAATGTAAGGGTTTTCTGGAAGGGGCTACAACCACCCATGTACAGTCTCAAAGCCTTTAAAGCACCGCGTGGCCTTTCCTGTCCCTCAAGGCATGGGCAGCTATCACAAGGGAAAAGTGTCTTCGCTTTATGAGGATACCAGTGGTCAGCATCTCACAGTACGGTACCTGCCAGAGTGTGTCGAACTTGGTCCCCTCAGGGATGGAGTACTTGCCGGACTTGTCCTGGTCTATCCGATAGTGATATACTGTTTTGCCATAGACGAGGGACAGGGCGTAGGCACCGTTCTCCTTCCTTTCTCTCAGCCTGGTAGGAAGGAGAACTATTAAAAGCAACTCTGGGTTTTGCCCTGCAAATTATCACGGCTGCAGCGGTGGTGGGTCGCTGGGTGGGCACGTGGTAAGGTGTCCCTGCACCCCCTGTTGGAATTGCCACCTTCCTGACACCCCTCTGCAGAGGCTGAGGAGAAACCCTTCACCTTCGGTCTCTTGCCGCCTTCCTCCAGCTAATTCTTTCCCAGATAATTAAATGCAGGGCTGTCTCACCTCGGTAGAGATGCAGAGCAAATGCTTTCTCCTGTATTTTATTGGCCATACATTGTCTATGTATCAGTGATAAATGTCTTCACCCACTGAGCCCTATATCTCATATCATCTGGTGCATTAACAAGCATACTTCATAGGGATATCTAAACATGAGAAACAAATAAAGCTCAAGATTGGCTCTTCATGGAGGCCAGATACTGCCTGGACAATAATAGGTTTGGGGTGCCAGACCCTGTCTTTGAAAGATCTGTAACCACAGTCTGACCATATTCAGCTAAACTTCCCCTCAGGAACTGTCATGTGAAACAAATAGCTACAGGGTAGTGGAGGTGGGGAAATGGTAAAAAGTACAGGGATCACAGCATCTGCCAGGGTTTTGCATACTCACAGGAATTTCCCATCAGGTTGTGCCCCAGAGTAGAGCCTCCGTTCAGCTTCATCCCGGGCGATGCCCCCATGGTACCAGGGCATCCTCTCATGGGCTGTGGTGGCGATGAGCTTCTCCACCTGTGGAGCCTGGCTTATGATGGCCTGTTCGAGTGCATCGCCCTGGAAAAGAGTGAGAAATGAAACCTCCTGCCACTCTGCTGCATTGTTGCATGGCTTCAGCCCAGTTTATTTTGCACCCTTTTGGGCAGATGACAGAGGAAACTTGGAAGGTCTCATAATTGAAGTGCCTGTGGCCTTAATCATGCCTATAGCAATCGTGGGTTGAATTCTGTTCTGTTGCAGGGCAGAATTCCTTACTTATTTAAACTGGTCCCATCCCTCGAATCCAGCTGAAGTCCATTGACTTGCTGGTGAGGGAAGAAAGAAGTCACCAAATTCGTATGGGGGATCTTGACGTCAGGCTTGCAGGGTGTCTTTCAGCCTCACATTCCTGGGAGAGCAGGACCTCTTTCTGGTGCCTCTGGCTGCTCACTGTCCCCAGACACCACAACTTGTCAAGAGCAGTGCAGTCTGGAAATCATGTGGGAGACCCTAAATTAATTTTACTGGCCCACACATTTTATAAACAACTGTAGTTTTTCGTTTGCCAGTAGGTGGCAATGTCCTTTGTGTTATCTACCAGTGTCCACAGATCAGCTTCAAGGAGAAACCCTAAAGATACGTCATTCTGTCAAGCACCTTTGGTCTAAAATAGGCCAAATTTAGAGATCTTTTGTAGAAAGGCTTCATAAAGAGAATGCCTGAGCCATCTTTCTGCGAGGACCTGGAAGTGTCTGAGTAGCCACTCTCGAGGTGACAGCAGGTAGAAGGAAATTAATTATGTGGCTGCCAGTGTGACCATTTACAGAGTTTTGCCTTATACATATATTATATATATTCCAGTCTGCAATAAAATGCAGGAACCTGTCTGTAGGTTTAAATAACACATTTGGACTCGATGATCTTAGAGGTCTTTTCCAACCTTAATGATTCAATGATTCTGTAACATACAGACCTGATCCAGTACCCAAGTACCTCAGTCTCATAGGCAAAACCTCCACTGACTTCAAAGAGCAAGGAAAACCTGAGCAAGAATTTAAGTCTGGTTTCATTACAGCTTCAGCACAATGTTATGGAGGCACAGGTACCTCACATGGAGAGCGATGGTCTAACTGCAGCGAGCATCCCATGGGCTGTGAGAAGCAAATGGCACATGGGGAAATGCTTGCAAAGCGGGCAGAGAGCTCCAACGCCCTGCAGAGCAGACACAACACGAGCTGTTCAGGGGAAGAGTCTGAAGGCTTGGGAAGATGTTTAGACCCATTTCTGAAGAAGAAACTGGAAAAGAGAGAGATTTAAGACTGCTCTTAGTGGCAGCAGCCTCCGAGGAGAAGGACCTTGCTTTACCACGCTGTAAGAGGGGAATGACAGTGACAGAGGAGGACAGGGTGGCAAGCGGCAGTAAGCCCCCGGGGAGCACTCCTCGCACAGTCCCACACCACCTTTGGCAATGGCCAGTACCTCTAGTTTCCATGTCTGCCGGACGTATTCGCGCACCATATTGTCTCTCATGCTGTCGAAGACACCGGGCTGGGGCTCCACACCACTTGGGCGGTTGCAGGGCTTGCGGAGGGTGCAGCAGAGCCCATCGGCATCCTTGGAGTAAAACTCACAGAGCTCCTCCGGCCCGCAGTGCGCTTTGCCCCCCGCGATGGCGTAGGTACCGTTCATCTGGCGCTCGATGGCGTAATGGTAAAACTGCAGGTTGCAGACCATGGAGAGGACATACCCCCCCAGACTGCGCAGGCATTGCCGCAGCAGGAACAGGCCATCTGACATCCCCGCCAGCTTGAGGTACTCCTCCGCTTCTGACCTGGCGATGTTGCCGTAGTAAAAGGGCAGGTGAGCAGCAGCATCTGGCATCTCTGTGCACTTACCAGGACTGCTTGGGTCGGCTCACGCACTGCTGGTGCTCGATCTGGAAGAAAGAAGCGAAGTTCTTCACTGACACATAATGTTGCAAAAAGGTTTAATTGTCTGCCTAGATGTTCTTCAGCCCTGACGATCTGTAGCGTCATTTCAAACATTGCATGGAGAGCAGCAGTGCATGCATTCATATCCCCATGGTGATTCCATGGGATCCTGAATGCTGCTAGAAAGTGTAAGTAAAAATCCATCTGATCTTGATTTAAAGATTTCAAGCAATAGAGAATGCACCGAATCCTACAGTGAATTGTTCCAGTGGTTAATTACCTTCACTATTAAAAATGTGCTGCTTACATCCATCCCAAAGTTTTTAGCTTTGACTTCCTACCATTTTCTCTCCATCCCTGTTCACAATAAAAGGAAATTCTTTTGCCTCTCTGAATAAATTAGTTTTACCATAAGGGTCTATAAGGCCAAAATCTTAAATGGAACGAGATTAAAACATGAGATGTATATTAAATGTCTAAAAAACATTTAGATACATAATTGCACCAAACACAGCAAAAGGAGATAAAGATAAACCCAAGTGCTTCTGGGCAGACATTAACCATCAGTTGACAGAACAAGAAGAAACCTTCCTCTAATTGTCTCTTGAAAAATTTATGGATTTTTTCCCATGATACCTGGCTCTGGCTGGTTTCTGAATTTGCTGATACTCTGATCCCGTTTGGCAGTTCCTATTTCTACATCGTGCACATGCTCCAGAGAAGGCTGCAGCTCAGATGTGGCCAGCCATCACCGCAAAGTGAGTTTAATCCCACTATCTCTGTCGAGCTGCAATGTGCAAGCATTACTGGACCCCCTGTTCAGAACAGCTTAAAACCAGAAACGAACCTACCGCCGTGCTGCTGCAGCACCAGCTCACGGTGAGAATCCAGCAAGAAATGGCACTTTGTTGACTGAGTCACTGCAGAGCCCCTTCTGCCAAAGAGCTATAGGTCTTGTATCGAATCATCTAAAATCCCACCCACAAACAGAAGCCAATTTCTGGTGATTAATGGAAACATTATCATATTCGAAGGGTCTCATTTGTTCCCTGGAGCCTGATCTTTGATTTTGTCATTGCGCAGATGTTGACCCCAAAAAGATCAAAGTGTTTGTCTCCATCCGCGTTTCCCGCAAACGCATCACTCGCGCTCAGAGTAAAGAAAACACTGGCTCTTTGGCCAGCGCGCTGGGTATTTGTCCTGATTCTTCCCAACGTAACTCTCATTTCTGAACGTGATGGGAGAAGTCGCTGCCTGATGGGTTGGGCCCATTGCGCTATTCCAGAAGTGGCCTCTGCTCCCAGGCAGTGGCTGGAGCTGTGCCCGGGCTGGTGGTCAGCCCTGCTCCGTCTCACCCCGCTCAGCAGCACGGCGACAGGGCTGCCTCCTGCCAGACTCTGGGACCGCTGGAGCGGGGAAGGGGTTGGCGGGATACGTGCTTTGTATGGGCAGGAACGGGACAGGGGTCAGGAGGAAACTGCTCAGGAGAAACCGTTCTGCTGTGTGCACCCTGCTCTGCTCAGCCTACAACAGCAAAGACCCACAGGGAGCTGGATTTATGGCAACCAGACTCTTCTCTACCTATTTGTTTGTTGTCTTCATTAAGCCCAGAAATGGCCCTGATGAGAACAGGAAGGGAGAGCAGGCTCCGCCGAGGAGGCGTTTTAGCCGAGGCAGGAAACCACAACAGGAAGCCGTCAGTGGCGTTTGCAGCTTGGGTGCAGGACTAGCGTAAACCCTATCAGGCGCAGCACAAATAAGTCTGAGTTGTGAAGCCCCTTTCATCAAACTCATCAAGTGAAGCAAAGTGGGGTCTTGGCAGACCTGCCAGTCTGGGACACAGATGGTAAATGAAAACACCCTGTAGCTCAAACCCTAACTGGAGTCGGTGCTTGGAACGAAAGCAAACATCCTAATCCCTTGATGCCTTCAGGCATCAAAGCGGCCCAGACACTGGACAGGCGTATTCCCCAGGTTCAGCTCCCGAGACGAGACGACTGCCAGGTTTTCCCAACCTCAGCCTGGTCCCAGGGGAGGGCCGGTCCCAGGAAGGATGTGAGGAGCAAGGATTGCAGCTCTTGGTTTTAACTGCAGAGTCAGGTTCATGAGTCACGTTCACGAGTAAAGGAAGAGGAAGCGCTGAGTGGGCAGTGGAAGGTCGACGGCCTTCTTCATGTGCTACTAATTTCCACTAGCTACCTGGGATAAACAGTGATTACATACAAGGACGCTGCACCCAAACAAGCAGATTCCCTTTTCTGGAAAGTCCAGGACCAGAACATCACAGCAAATGTGATGTTTGACAATTGTTCAGACAGGTAAAAATGAGATGGCAGAAGCCATTGATCACCACCAAGCTCCCACAAAGTTTCCAGCTGCCTACACAGGCAGTTCGGTTATAAACAGACTGGTTTTCCTCTCTAAGCACCGGGCTGTGAGTCAAGAAAGCCTCACGGAGATATAAGAGTGAACCCAGGCATCAGAGGTTGGTTCAGGCTATGCCACCCATTTCATACAAGCCTTGCTGCCACAAATGAACCCTATTAGAAAATTACCCTTATTAGAAAAAACTTCTAAGTCCCCAGCCATGAGGGAAAGTTACCCCCTGAATCTGAGAGCAGATTTCAACAGGATGATTCATAGCCCCTCTAAAGCTCTTGCTTTTAAAAGTTTGTCCTACTGTCCTGGCTCTTTCTATTGCCCGTACACCAGCCCAGGGTCTTCTGGGCATAGCTAAGCTCCTCTTCCAACCTACAGCTCTGTTCCTTAGCACTACCTCTGGGTGGACCTGAGCAACCCTGATACCACCTCAACAGACCTGCACAAACCTCATACAATGTTGTTTTCCCACGCTGTAAAATGCAGTCGAAAATTAGAACCGATTTCATGGATTGCTTTTATGAACATAACAAACTAGTGCCTGGAAGAAGTTGTGCAAGGGACCCTCCACCACTATTTATTTCAAGTAACAGGACCTGATCTTTCCAGCACCTGATTAATTTCTGTCCCTTGGGCTGCAGCAACCCAGATGCCCGGTGTTGCCCGGTGTTCCTGTTGGCTTCGGGTGCTCCCCCCAGGTTAGAAACAGCACTTGGGGAGAAGGGCTGTAAAACCAGGGCTCCTGTGATAATGGCTGTGTTTGCAAGCTGGCGTTATGATGTGAAGATGCACTGAAAAAAGCAACACCCATGAAAAAGTAGTCGGATCTGGGCACCATGACACACAGGAAAGCCAGGCAGGAAGCTATTGAGAAGTCAGTCAATCAGATCTATATATAGCTGGCCACTTGATTTTACTTAGATCAAACAAGAACTGTCAGGAACTGGTTTGACTTTATAATTTCTTAGAACAGCAGAACCACTTTGTGTGAATCCGGAGCCAGTCCCCGAGAGCAGCGGGGCACTGATGAAACCGGAGGAGGCACTAGCAAACTTGAGCATCCTGTTAGGATCATATTTTCTGTATCATTGTCCTGGCAGCAATAATCCCTTATAACACAGCCCTGGCTGGCTGGGCTGTCTGTTTAAGGTGGCTGGGTCAGCCTGGGGTAGAGGAGGGACCTGCCCGGGGGATATTGGGGAGCCAGCGGGGAGGGCTGGAGGATGGGAACCATCTGATGGGGAACCAGCCTGGAGGGGTATAAAAGGGGGTTGGGGTCGGTGGAGTTTGTGTGCTTTGGAGGTTGTGGTAGGAGCTGCTGCTGAGGTTCATGTTGGCAAAGGCGGGGGGAGCGTTTCTAACAGTTCTCTGAAAGGTGTTTAATTGGGGTAGGGGAAAGAGGTAACTGAAAATAAGGTAAATGTGCCTGTGGCACTGCTGAAAGGTCAGGTCAGCCTGTCTGATGGGAGCTGGGGTCTCTGAGCTCCTCTGTGGGTCACTTCTGCTTCCCCCCAGGGCTGGGGGTGTTGATGGGGGGTTGGAGCTGTGGTACAGGCAGCTGGGTGGGTTGCTGATGGGCAGGGGGAGCAGCCCAGCCTCAGGGGCTTGCCTGCCCTGCAGGCAGGAGCACTGCTTGGCTGAAGGCAGCTGGGTGGGTGTGGGGCATCCCTTCTGCCCTGAGCTCCTAATTAGCCTGTGCCGCCTTCTTGTCTCCTCCTGATGTGAATTTGCCTCGTTGACCACCTCATGGGAAGGAAATCGGCTTCTCATGGTGCCTCGCCTAGACCCACCTGCAGTTAATGCAAGAATAAATGGTGCTATTTACAGCCCCTTCTTTTCGGTCCTTTAGGAAAGTAAAGGTTTATACCCTAGATTATTTCAACCCTCCTGTTGTTTACTGAGCTCTCCAGGAGTGGCTGCAGGAGCTCTGCTGGTCCCCACGGAGGGGCAGCTGGCTGGAGGAGTGGGGCTGAGCCTGATGCGCAGAGGCTATGGCAGAATGAAGGTGTCGGCAGGATTTAGAGGTGGGAGCAGGGTGAGGTGTGGAGAGGGATGGCAGAAAGCAGAGCGAGTCTCAAGCAGCAGCTGCTTCCCTCTGTCCCTGCAGAGGTAATGGGCATGTACAGGGATCTTCTGGCTTCCCCAGAGCAGCTATCCCCCACCCCTTCCCCTGGATTCCCTTCTGTTGTTCCTGATTTGATCTGAGAACTAAATTTACAGTGGAGAGCCTGGTTGAAAATGTGAAGGGCTGAAAGATGTCTACAGCGTACAAGCTCCCTTTCCAAGTCATCCTTCCCAGGAGTAGCTGGCACCGTGCAAGAGGATGAACTGAAGAGCTGATTCCTGGAGCTCAGGCACGTGGTTTTTAAAATCTTAAATAACAAAAGAGTAAATAATAAATTACTTTGATTCAACTTGAAATGCTTCTTAGTTTGAAGAAAAACCTGTAAGATTTAACTTTGGATTGGCCTGACTACACTCTTCTAATTGTTCTTGATTAATGTTTCATTCTTATTTATGCACTCCATAGCAGCTCTTCCCAAGATTTCCTCATGAGCACTTACATTCCTG